CTTAATTATTGTGCCAGTGCATAATAATGCAAACCGAGACCGTGAACTTTCTTTCTGCAGTCAACCCAAACCCCCTTCTGCGGCTGCGTGGTTAACACAAGGTCGGTCACAGAGATCAGAGATCGCAGGAGGCCCCCCAGTCCAGAGTCCTGCTCTGTGACGTCACGCAGTTAAGATGGGTTCTCACACGATTAACGGGGCCCAGTATCTGATCTGATACAAGTCTGCAACGATACTTTCGAGGCAGCGTCTCCCTGTTTGAGATTCAACCCAATTTGAATGCAGTTAAAAATAGCTCAGACTGTAATACTTTAAAGGCCGGTTAATTGAAAAAGTCTATTTAATGCAGCAGTTCTTTCTTCGAGCTGTCTGTTACTGATTTAAGCACCGTTGTGAAGATGTTTTACCCTGTCTTTAAATTTGGTACAAATCACTTTTTTTGTTGTGAAGAATGGTTTAAAATATACCTGTTTATGAGGTTCATTTTCAGTCTCTTAAAGTTGTAAAGCGGTGCAGGATAAGATATAAAAGGACTGATTATCATCACAAATGGCGCTGATCCATGAAATCTATTACAAAAAGCAATTTGGTTAAATCACCCATTGGAGAAGAAGACTGATGTTTTCTTGGCTTCAGTTCAAATGCAATGTCTTATGTTGTCTAGTGCTGCAATGTTCATAAACTACCAGCAGAGGCCGCCAGAACTCCACATTCAGTCCTCCTCTCCTATATCAACCCTGAAGCAAGGCTACAAAATGGTCTCGTTCTGAAACCTCTCTGTCAAATCACTGTGAACTCTAATGCCAGACAAGCCTTTTGGGCCAGGTACCAATCATATATTCTCGTTTCCAAACCTTGCCTACTTCTCCCTGCCTATTCCACATAACGTCAGAAGGAGATGAGGGGAAGAGGCAGAGTAGAGGACAAAATGAACAGCAGAGAGATGTGATGGGAGGAAGTGGGCCACCTTGCTCAGTCCTGTGATTACTGTCTCGACGTTGATGAGTGATGACATCGATCCAGCGCTGTGCTCCACGGTGGTGCTTAACCGTAGGACCAGCGCTCTGTCCGCATTATGTCCAGGCTACAGGAAAAACGTTCAGCTTCTCTCCAGCTAAATGACATTTCTCAGGGCTTCACTACACTTGCTCCAATAAGTGTAATACAGCTGTTTGAGAAGAGCATGAAAATTTAATTCATTTATGAAGCTGCACTACAAATATGCAAATATGAGCCTTTACCCCATGAAAAATAATAATTTCTAAAATACATTTTTGATTCATCCTCGAGGAATGACAGTGCTAACATAAACATACCTGCCCCCCCAATTTCAGGGCACCATCGTTTTTGGGACAAACGGCCTCACAGGTCACCTTAAAAACAAGGTCTATGCCAAGGCTCTCATTGCAAATTCACTTTTACAGTTAGTCACACCCCCCCCCTCATTATTCTGGGTATCCTCTGCTAAATGTTGTTGTGTGCAGATTTCACAGTGACAGGGCGCTCATGTGATACTCTGTGCTGGTATTTCACACATGTTGTACACACTGGGCAACAGCACTACACTTCGGTGAGACACTGACTCAAGCAGCTATGCTGGTCTTAGCATGGCTTTTACATAAGTAAATAGATTTGTGCAGGAAAAAATGCCAATTGAAACTATAGCCTATAAATGTCTTGTACACCCCCAGTACGTTCTCTGATCTTTCACCTTCTGGGCAATCAGCAGCTTACTGCAGTTCTTATTTTCTCATGGTGATTTCTACCTTACCAAGTCTGCAATCCATTTGGGAGCCCGGATCACCAATCAATGGTGCCGACCCAATTTCACACAGACCTCAGGACGCACAATGAGGAGACATGGAATGGCCGTCATGCAGTAACCGCTGGAAACGAGCTTTGGCTTTAGGGACTTGTCAGGCGCCACATGTTTATAAAATCACAGAGCGCCATCCAAGCGGCATATCAGTGATCACACTCACAGCCAAAATAAAACTACAAAACTTAAGGCGCCAAAGGGTGCCTCTGCACTCCCCCTCCCCCTCAACAAAACGGAATTGAACGAATACCAACACCAGAATTCAAAATGAATGGCAATTAAAATTAATGACAAAAATAATCAGTTAGTTTTCAAACATTTTAGCTAAAGGTTAATGTTAAAGTTTTACTTTAAATGCATAGGACCGGTGTTCAGCTGAGATGAAAGACTGAAAATTCTCTCTGATTTTTACACATTTTTTTTTTAAAAGGGGCTGGATTCAATCACTGTTTGTCTTTAACTTCCGAGCACAATTACACGCAAGTATGTTTTTCTTCATCAGTCACCAAAATTGCCGCACTAAATTGTGTTTTTGAGGGGAAAAATGTAATTGCGTTCATTTGTAAGGCAAAGTTAAAGATACAAGTTGATTGCTTTAGTCTTTTAGCATTTTTACCAGCTGTTGTTTGTCTGAGGGGAAGAATGATTATTTGGGTTACGCATTGCAGCCCAGAGGAAGATGAAGGTAGTACTGCTGAGGAAGGGGGGCTTTGGGTGGCTCACTCTGTAAAGGTGCTCGCTCTGTAAGCAAAGCGTCAGCCCTGTCATCAGAAGGTCAGTTCCCAGCATTCTTACGCCATTGCCAGCTCTGGCTGGAGGTCCACGTTGGCAAGGTAACACCTGGCCCAGCCGTGCCCAGGATGATGGGGGTCCTGTCGCCCTCTAGTGGACATGCCTGGTAGGATGTGGGTGGAGGGGGCAGCTACAGATGCAAGAACTGTGACCACGCTGACTTCATACTCCTCGGAAAACACAGGCAGTCTGTGATGGGTGGTGCGTTGGCAGTGTGTGAAAGAGTGAGGGTTGTCACATGAATAGGAGTCGTGTGTGGCCTCCTCCCTCTGAATTTGGTAGGCTGTGGTAGATCAGCTAGTGTGTTTGTGTTGGAGAAAGAAGGTTTGCATCACAAATCAGGGTAAAAAATTAATGTTGCCATAATATGTCCTAAATGTGGCCTAAATATGGATTATTCGCCACCAGTGTGGCTAGCTCACTCTAACACTTCTCAACATATAACACCAAAACACAGCAATAGCAGTATACAATGCATGGCTAAAATTTCCATCTCCATTTTTGCATTGGGTGCATAAACAGGAGCCTCGTATCTCTGATTTCGTGCTGCTATGTGTCATGGCTCTGTGACTGGTGAGGGTTATTTAAATCACAGCGTGATTAGAGCATGTTCAAGTTCAATGTGAAAATAATACTGTTTCTTTCCCATCTCACGAAGAATCGTCCTTCTGGAGATACGATACAGGGTTTTTATGGCATTGGCGATGAATTAATTAAGCGTTCACTTCCAGGTCCAGAGCGCTAATTATTTGAAACACAATGGGTAAATATGATTACATATTTAAAAAAACAGAACTAATCTACAGTGTTTTAGCTCTACATGCAAACAGACACTGCCTCTTGCAGTAACAATGGGCAGAAATCCCTTTGACGGCAGTAAACTCAGTCCTACACTGGTAATTGTTTTGTTGATAAGCCCAAGCGGGATTTTGGGTGGCTGTTTGTGTTTGTTTTTGTGTCACGGCACCTCATGAAAAGAACAGGCCACCGGCCCAGAATTACGGAGTATTAAATTCCCTCCATGAATGCAGGCAGTGAAGGAGGTCGCAGGCGGGCGGAGGACCCGGGCCTATCGGGGGAGGGGAGCGTGGCGAAGGTATTGGCCCGAGAGTCCTTTCCCTCTTTATCTCCTCACCGTGACAGACTCCCCACCCCGCCGCCTCGCTGCTATCGCCCCGCTCCACATTTCGCATTCCCTGCGCTGATCCCAGATAGGTGGACTCGCTGCTCATTAGAATTTTTGCCAGGTTACAACCCACACGCCACGCCGCCGTGGCAACCCCGGGGCAGGCAAAGGGGGGAGCACTGAAGCCCCAATAGGAAAACACACGAGTCAACATCACAACGATAAACAGCCCTGGGACGACGCTAGGACAGTGTGTCCCCCCCCAAACACAACACCAGGGTCTGAGTGGGGCCAGCTAAGCGTTCCTACCCACCATTAAATAAAATAAGGGGGGGCAGATAGCAGCTCATGAACTTTTGCCGCCCTGATTTAGTGAGATGCTCTGTGGTGGGTGAATCTCGGGTCCCTCCCACAGCGCGAGAGACGCTGGTGGAATAGAATGGAGCCGATAGGCCCATAACTAACAGCCTTTTGGAACCCCTGCAGTGTTTATTGATCTTCGGTTTATGGGGCAGAACTGTTGAACGCCGAGGAGGGACTTTACAGAGCGGGAGGCCCGTGAGCGCAGATTCTAAGAATCTGGTCAGAGGAAAGCAGCGTGATGTGGATTTCACAACTGATGGAAAGTGCATCCCTGCTGTTGCAATGCCAGGAAACGCCGTGTTAAATAGTCTTGAAATCATATACTGTCTTTACCATAAACTATTTAACTTCAACATAAAATTCTTAATTAAAATTCTTAATTAATCCATAATGTGTGAATTAAACTCCATGAGCTGTGGATTAAAATATATGTGTTGTGGATTAAAATCTGTGAGCTGTGGACTGGAAGTTTCCAAGAGCATGGGATTGGTCATCTAATGTATTAATCTTGTGTTTATTACATTTGATAAAAAAATAAATAAATTGTTCCATCCTAATAGAGTCCATATTTAGGACCCTGTTTTCCATTCGGCATCGGTGGCAGTGACTCTAATGCATGTCTGTTTATTAGTTTCAGCCTCGTGTAGTTTTCATGTGTCCTGTTGCTCTGGAAAAGCACCCTGCACCTGTGCGGTAGGTTGGTCTGCACTCTGATGGACACACATCACGGTGCAAACAGAGGGGCTTTTAAATGGTATGGGAGATCACATTCTGATTGGCTGATTGTGTGTTTGGGTGTCTATGCCCATGGCACATCTACAGGTAATTAACCCAAAAAACCCAACCCAATCTCCACTCACTACGCACAGCACACCACGTGTGCAGATTTGTAAAGTCAGTGGGCCTGTAGCTTAGTGGCTAAGGTGCTTGGATGTGACCCGGGAGGTTGTTGGTTCAAGTCCCTTGAGCCAGATGCTTAACCCCATACTGAGGGAGTATTGACCCCTGGTTAGTCCGTCTATAAGTTGTCAGCTATACGCTGCTTTGGCATAAAGATACAGCGTTAATTATGAGACCTTGACCTTCATCACTAATCAGCCTCATTACAGAACCTCTTGACAGCACTGGTGAGAAATAAAGCCCTGTGGTTGTTCATCTTCACAACTGCTACAATATACACACACACACACACACACACACACACACACACATACACACACACTAACTAACACACACACACACACTAACTAACACACACACATACTCACACACACTAACTAACACACACACACTCACTATCTAACACACACACATACTCACACACACTCACTAACACACACACACACACACACACACACACTAACTAACACACACACATGCACTCACACACACACACACACACACGCACTGACACACACATACACATACTCACACTACACACACACACAAACTCACACATACACACACACACACTAACTAACACACACACGCACTCACACACACATACACATACATACACACATACCTGCACTCACACACACATACTCTCAAACACACACACTGCCAGACACACACACATATTCTCACACACACACGCACACAGTATCAGCAAGCCAGAACAGAACAGAACAGAACAGAGCATGACCAAATCACCTTGTTTGCTCGTGTCTGGGTCGTGTTATAAAAGTCACAAAGTTTAAGACAGCACACGTAACATGTTACACAACACATGTTGCATGGCCGACAGTGGCCGGGGGAGGGATGATGCAATTATCTTTAATTGTCTGAAGGATGTGGAGAAAAAGCATCTCGTCATCCTCCACAGCCTGTCCTGTGGTGGAGCTGCAGACTCCTGCCCACAGACGCAGGCAGTGAGACGGGGAGGATGGGGACCACATGGGGGAGGCGGCCAGGGAGACAATAGATTTCATAACGCTCATTAGCATACTACGCGTTGTTTAACCTGGGTCAGGCCGCTTAATTGATGCGCAGGAGTGAGCGCAGACACACACACACACACACGCCCGCGCTTGTGTAAGGAATGACTCACCGTGGAGACGTGATGCTGTCGTCACGGCGGAGATATCGAGGGGATTGAAGTACGGGGGTGACTGAATGTAGAATACCTTTCCGTGGGAGGGAGGGAGGGAGGGGAGGAGTGGTCTCCATCCTGTAGAGCCCTTCAGTTGCATCACAGTTGCTTTTCTCTGACCTGTGCTTCTGCTCATTTTAAACTTGCCTCTTCCCACTTCTGCACGGTTACACAGAGGGAAAAAGCTGGGCTTGTCTCTGTTCAGAGACCTTCACACCGATGCATCGCGCGGTGACGCTCGGGCCAGCAAAATTAGGGACGGCGATTAGCAATTTGACTGAGCAGTGTTTGGAGAGGTTTGGAGGCATGCAGGATCCTCAGATAGAACTGCTCCATCAGTCTGCACATTGATCTCCCCAAATAACCCCAAACTGCTAACTGTGGTTTCTGCTTTTCTCCCCTCCAGATAGAGAGAGAGAGAGAGAGAGAGAGAGAGGGGGGGATTGAGAGAGACACCATTTCCTTGTATTGGCAGAAGTCTCTTTCTTATTGCTGCTCTTATTAATATTTGTCATGCAAAGTTGTTTGATTTCTTTCTTTGTCTTCCTTTCCCCCCCTTTTATATCTTATTTATTTTATTTAACTGTATTAAGTAAGTTTGTAACGTGTGAGTTAACTGTTTCATTGTTTTAGCTTTGGCAGTATTGCTTGTATGCAGTCATGCCAATAAAGTATTATTAAATTGAAACTGAAATTGAGAGAGAGAGAGAAAGAGAGAGAGAGAGAATCTCCCCCTTTAAAATGTAACTGTGTTTTTTGGAGGTATGGATGTGGAAACAAAAAACTTCCATAAGAATCTAAATATTATGACTTGTTTATGATATCTTGCTGTGTTGTAATGAAAGTATTTGACAAGGAGGATTGGTTTCACTTGAATGGCCTTATTAGTCATAAACAAACTTGTGCCATTCTGCTCTCTAAAATAGTTTTTTTTTATCTTATTGAGTGGTATAAAAATATTGTACATTTGTTGTATATTTTGTCAAATTAATTGGAACTTGGAAAATTCATTTGAATTGATCAAGTAATGTGTGCATGTGTGTGTGTGTTTGTGTGTGTATGTGTGTGAGTGTTAGTGTGTGTGTTAATGTGTGTGTGCGTGCACGCGTGTATGGTGTCTGTCTGTGTGTGTGTGTGGGTGCGTGTGTGTGTGTATGGTGTGTGTGAGTGTGTGTGTGTCTATGGTGTATGGTGTGTGTGTGTGTGTGTGTGTGTGTATGGTGTGTGTGAGTGTGTGTGTGTGTGTGTGTGTGTATGGTGTGTGTGTGTGTGTGTGTGTGTATGGTGTGTGTGTGTGTGTGTGTGTGTGTGTGTCTGGTGTGTGTGTGTGTGTGTGTGATGGTGTGTGTGTATGTGTGTGTGAGTGTGTGTGTGTATGGTGTGTGTGTGAGTGTGTGTGTGTGTGTGTGTGTATGGTGTGTGTGTGTGTGTGTTTTTAATCATATCTAAGAACATCCCTCCCGGGCTTGACAACCTTTGAAGGTAAACTTGCTGCTTGCCTAGTCATTCGAGGCTTCATTTGCTTTGAAGTAAAAATTAATAGATATTTCTGAAAGAGTTATTTTTTTCCCCTCACCGAATGAAAATGTGAATAATAATTTAGTTTGGTTGGTGTCGGGCACTTTGCAGCATCACACACACTGCCGTATGTGTGTGAGTGTGTGTGTGTGTGTGTGTGTGTGTGTGAGTGTGTGTGAGTGTGTGTGTGTGTGTGTGTGTGAGTGTGTGTGTGTGTGTGTGTGTGTGTGTGTGTGTGTGTGTGTTGGGTTCTAAAGCAAATCACACTTCAAAGGGCTCGCTCTGACTCCTGTGAAATGGGGGTCAAAACTTTACCCCACATTTCTTTTCCACACCCCCTCCTGCAGGTAGTACCACCCAGCCACCCAGCCACCCCCCAACCCCCGCCTGAGAAACTACGACTATTAATAGTTAATTGTTATCATTATTTGTTTACTTGGCATAGTTCACCATTTCCATATCATTCAGTTACAAAGCTGGGCATTTACCGAAGCACTTTAGCTGAAGTGCAAAGAGCTGCAGCACCCCAATCTGACCTTTCCTCTACGTTCCCCTTGTTTCAAGCAAAGCGCCTTAGCCCCTATACCACAGGGCATATCCATCCTGTTGACCAGTGGTACCCAACCGGGACTTTACTGCAATGCTTCATAAGTGGTAGCTGTGTCCATCTTTATTTTTTTATTTATTATTATTAAGTGGTTCCAGGCATTGGGTCATGGGTAATGAATGAAACCACATGTAGCAGTGTGGTTGCTGTGGAAAACTCCACTAACTATAATGAAAAGGGACCAACCATTAAGTATCTTCTGCCTGGAGAGAATGTTCAAACAGCAGATGTGGTTCCAGCATTAGGTTGTAATGCATATTTAGATCTGCACATCTCCTATACCTTGTATAGAGGCAGGGAGATTGTATTGAGCCAAAAAATGGGAGGAGCTACCATACGTATCAGTGACTCAATGATTTGGACCAATGACTGCATTGACTGTGGAGAGAATGACATCTTTGATTGGTGCAATTTGTCAGTGATTGATGGCTATGTGTAGCTCCATTGTAACAAGAAGACTCATTGCAGCACTACTAACAATGAATACAAACAGTTTCCTACACCAAAAGAGTCCAGATATCCACAGTTCTTTCCCACATAAACTTTCACTCTGTGATCTGAGCCAGATGGTGAGAACGTGGAGAGAACCGTCAGGAGTGCTGTGTTTGTGTCTCTCTCAGGGTGCTGTGTTTGTGTCTCTCTCAGGGGTGCTGTGTTTGTGTCTCTCTCAGGGGTGCTGTGTTTGTGTCTCTCTCTTTTTTTCTGTGACTCGACCCTGTTCAGCACACCACAGCGTTCTGTTAAACAACTAGTTTTGCATTTCCTCTATAAACATGGTGTGTAACCAATCAGAACTTGAAATGCTAACAAGTTTGGTGTTTTTCCCCGCAGTTCAATCCCATTTTATATGTTGGTTATGAGGAGGGAGTTTTATGAAAACAAGACACCTCTCCTAGCAGCAAGCTGGGGGGAAACGTAGATGTATTTAAAAAAAAAACAAGTAAGATTCATTATCATCAAAACATTGAATTTAATTTCAGAAGAGAGTATCCTACGGCACGATCAGACCTTTGCATAAGAACTGTTATGAGACACCTGTGTAAATTGAATTTCATTTTTAATTAACGGAAAATGGGCTTTAATTAAAACTGCAATAGGCTGAAAACTACTCCTTTCATTTTCATCACAGGAGTTAATTCCAAATGCTAACTTGATAGACTCTGAATAATTCCAGTGCCATTGCATGTCCTATTTATTTTCAATTTGTCTTGCTTTTGGGATGTATATTAATTATTGTTCAGAGGAGGACCAGAGGAGTAGAATCGACTGATTTTCCTGACCAGCAAACTGAGGACTCAGAGTATAAAATTAAAGGATGTCTGTTTGTTTGATATGGTTCTGCTAAGTTAATTACACAGTGTGTGTACTTCTAACTGGTATGGGGGTACTCTCTTGCAAGGTAGTTCATTTCAAACATGTCCAATAAGGAAAACGATCCTATAAGCTATCAATCCGCATCAGAGCAGCAATGTTTTGAGACTTGTTTTGTGCATATAATTTTACCTTTATAAAACTGAGAGGGGAACTGTACTTGCACTTGTAGGCAGAAATAACTTTGACTGCGTGAATTGAATCAAACCTCATGAGACAAGGCCTTCAGCTGCTAAACAGTCTCAATGCAGAGAATTTAAAACATACTAAAAACATCTCTGTTAAATACATCAGTATGGATGAAGGTCATGTTTTTGTTCTATTGTATGTATGTATATTTGAGTGTAGGAGGCTTACGTGTTGACGGTGTGGGGGTGTTAGTT